CAATGAAAATACATGAAATCATTCTTTTTGAAGCATTTTTTTTTTACATTTTTCTCGTTAATAGTGAAAACATGGATACTTAAGGAATGCATATAGGTTGCAATGCGGTAATGGTTGACAGCGCCACGCTGTGATGGAATGGTTGAAGATGCCATAGCGCATTAAAAAACTTCTGGGGAGAACACTGTGCCAGGTCAGGCAACCTGTCACGGAACTGGTAGTATCAAGTGATTAAGGGCCAAAGCGATAGTACGCAAGATAAATAAAGTGTGCTTCCTGTGAACTATGAACTCTTAAGTTAGTATATTGAATACGGTCATTCCTAATGGTAAATCTTATGTATGTATTTTAACTATGTATATGTTATGATTATTTGTTATTAAATTTAACTTGAATATACTGAACTTGTTGGTTAATCAATCAAATAAGTATTGGTGTTTATGACCAGGATGTAAATCACCGAAACAGTAAAGAATGGTGTTTACGACCAGGGTGTAGATCGCCGTAACAGTAATGTAGGGGCCCGTCCGGGATACAAATTAATCGTTCTCGTATACATATTTGATAAAACTATTGTGTCTTCAAGTGTGTAAATAACCATCATGTTCAGTATGGCATTTGAAGTGGAAGAGTTCTCAAGCCCTAATTGTTTTGATAACCTGAATAAACTTACGTAATATGTGATGCGATGGCTTTTGAAACATGGATGAGGAGCGTTAATCATTTTGGCATCAAAATTATAAATAGCATATGGTTTTCCAAATTTGACAGTACTTATAACATTGAATTCTTACTTTTACTGGTAAATACAATAATTTAATTGGATAACTGTTAACTATTAAATTATTTTTAAGTTTATATTGAGAACAGTATTGTTCTGATAAAATTTTGACTACCATTGTTTACTTAATGATTCTCGTAAACATAATCAAAGGATTTTTAAAAATTAAACTATAAAAATAAATTATTGATTTCAAAATTAATCATACTTTGTCAAAATAATTATCATTGGCTTGGAACATATGTCATTTTAATATATTATAAAATTGCTGGTAATTACTGACCTGCTGGACAATACACTAACATTAAAGTTAATCGTGTAACATGTAGTATACATGCGCTGCTTCAGTATTAAAATCTGGAATGGTGATGGTAGTAAATTTGGTGTGTGTTGTTACACATATCAGGATGTAAATAGACCGTGCCGGAGCAGTAAGCAGTCTAAGGGAGATAACTCTCCAAAACTTTACTATAATGACACCCCCTAAAAAAATCTGGATCTAGATCTCCGCCCCTAATTTGTCTCATATTTGACTATATAGCTAAATCTGCCTATGTAATCTGATTTCCCGGTGCTCCAGTACCTGTTGAAATCGATTGAGGTCGCTTTTAAAAATGTAAATGAAAACTTTCGTGAATACTTACTTCAGTCTTGTAATTTGTAGCATTGACGAATAATTCGAACTCGGCATTGCTGACTTCATATTTGTCCAAGTAAAATGCATTAACTCTGACAAATCGTTCTGGCCCTTCTCCATCTGCAACGAATATGGGTTCATTCGTTCCCATAAAAAATGAACCACCGGGAATGTTGACCATGCCATGAGTCCGAGGAAAATCAGTTTTCGAAGCCGGTGTGAGTTTATCTTTTGTCTGTCGGTAACGGTCCACCGACTCAAGCTTAAGATCACCAGATTGTTTATATATGGAAGTGTCACGACTTATTGAACAACCACATGACTTTGGATCGTCATTTGGACATTCACTCTCACCTTTTGAACATTTTTCAGCGCTAACGTCGCACCTTGCCAAGACGAGGCATATCATTACTTGCAAAATTCTCGGCCACGGATCCATGTTTACAATCGTCTCGCTCAACCAGACGCTTGATCACTTGTTATTCCAGAGTCTGGTCAAACACAGTGCACTAACATTATCACCACCAGAGG